CCCCGGTTCCCTCCTCTGGCGCAGACCCTCCCTATCGGGACCTCTCCGGAGGGGGCACATTGCCCACTCATGGGACACTCACGCCCAGAAGTCCTCCACAGTGCTGAACTTGGTGACTAGGCGCAGGTTTGCCTGCCACATCTTGCTCTTGTCGTTCTTGAAGAACCACAGTGCCCACCTGGGGAGGGAGAGGAGGTGAGGGGGATCAGCCATGCTGGAGCCCCCTCCTAGCCCCAGCATCCCCTCCCAGCGCTGGGGGAGGCTGCCCACAGCAGGGCCCCCCATACCTGTTCTGCAGGGGGTGTTTGCCCAGGCTCTCTGCCAGGAGCAGCTCTTGCTGCTGAGCCGCCTGCCGCCGCCGCCGACGCTCCTCTTGCCTCCGCTGGGGAAAGAGGGACAGCCCTGAGGAGCCCCATGGCTATCCTAGCAAGGAGCCTGCGCCCCCCCCACCCCACGACATGGATTCCACAGCCGGGAGCCCTGAAGGGACGGCAGTGCTGCCTATGCTCTGCTGCGAGGTTCAGGCCACAGGGAAAGCACTCACCTGCTCCCCAGTAGCCATCCTGCCCAGCACGGGCTTCCCCCCCGGCCGCCCCCGGCTCTTAAGTGCCCACAGCCGGGCGGGATGAGGCAGCCATCCCAGCTGCAGCTGGTGGGGCGGGAGGGCGGTGTGATGGGAAAGGGGTGACAGGTCTGCCCCTCCTGGGGAGCACAGAGATGGGAGGACCCTCCTCTAGGGCAAGCAGCAGGGGGATGAGGGCAGGGGGTGAGGGTGGGATGGCATCAGGATGGGGGGTTAGGATGGGGTAAGGTGGGGCCAGTGTGGGGTGGGATCAAGATGGTGTGGTCTGGGGCAGGGCAGGATGGTACTCAGATAGGGCAGGATACCATCAGGATGGGGAGTGGGGATGGGATGGGAGGGGATAGGGAGGATGGGATCAGGGGAGGATCGGATAGGAACAACATGGGATAGGCATGGGATGGGGAGAGCGTGGGATGGCATGGGGAGGGGATGGGATCAGAATTGGATGAGGTGGGGACAGGGTGGGATGGGAATGGGGTGGCATGAGGTGGGAAGAAGACATGATGAGGAGGGGATGGGATCAGGATGAGATGGGGGAAAAGCATGGGGACAGGGTAGAACATGGAGGGAGTGGGACAGGAACAGGATGGGATGGGATGGGGACAGCCTGTAGAGGGGAGGGGATGGGATCAGAACGAGATGGGATCAGGATCGGGAGGAGATGGGACGGCGAGAAGGGCGGATGGGGATGGGAAACGATGGGGACCAGCACGGCATAGCGTGGGGACAGCGTGGGATGGGATCAGGATGGGACGGGGAGAAGGTGCGACGTGATGGGACCGTCCCGGGGGTGCCGAGCCGTGCGGGGAAGGAGCCCGCGGGCTGGGGCGGCAAAGGGCCGGGGGTGCC